GTGACGTCATACTGGCAGGCGGACTGTACCACAGATTTTCAGGTAGATACCTTCCCCCCGCCCCTGTTTATAACTAAGGGTGCTGGAAAAAGCCCATGCGTATTTTTCTTATTACAGTGATATACGTAACCATGTTATATAACCCTGTTTTTCGATCAATTTTGGTAAAGAAAGAGGTAATTTAACAAAGAAAAAATATTCGAATTAAAAACATTTCATTTCAATAAAAAACTATCAGCCTCTAAAATTCAAAAATTTCTTTGAAATGTTTAAAAAAATAAAATAAAATAAAATAAAAAATCAATTAATTCGGGCAGGCTATAATATTTTCGATCTGTAGATCTGAGTCAACAAAGTCTAACTGTCGTCTTCTGGATCTTGAGCCTCTCAAGCATAGTATCGCAGGGCGTACGATGGCGAAAGATACTTAATTAGTTCTCATCCGGGAAATTGCGCTAGAGTAACTTTCTCCCTTCTTATTTGCGATCAGCTCTGCAAGACTGCTGTGGTACACAAGACACTCATCCGCCATTCCACTTGTGGTCGTGAAAACTAGGGGAGTGAACGTTCCCTGTTCGATCTCCATGACTCTTTCCGCATACTGCCTTTTCTTCTCGTTCTCATGTTTGTTGTAGATTTGCTTAAGAGTCAAGTCTCTGCAAGAGTCTGCATTAGGGTGACACACCCGAACGTCGAAGAATCTCTGTCTCTCCCAAAAACCTCGAGCATGAATATCCAAACGGGCATCAGGGGCTTTGTTAGCGCCATGATTTAATGTCTCCCCAGTGACCTCCTAAATGACTGGCTCTATTTCCACATCATTACCATCCTCGGAGACCCAGGGGCGATCAGTCGGGCCGGGAGAAAAGGCACGACAAAAGTTTTCAAGCACAGGCGGAAAAGTCCCTGGGTACCGACTCTCACTGGACCATTTCCAAACGGTCAAGCGAATGCAGGCTCCTGATTGGGCACAAAAAAATGCTTTGTATTATTGTGCCCAATCGGCGAACAGCATCTCCTGAGTTCTTTTCGTGAGTTCGTACACGACGGCTATTGACTCGATCACGGCTTGTCTGGCTCATGCACCAAAAAATGCACCGGCGCAGTAAGGAATCTTTCAGTTTGATATAAACGCTACATTTCAAAATACTGGTAGTCTTTACACTAGAGCCTAAATTAGCTAAGAAATATTTCAAGACAAGTAAATTTGAAATTCTTCAAGTAAAAGAAAGCTTCACACACAACCTATCTTTTTTACTTCAGGTTTTCCCACATAACGAAATTAAGATTGATTGACATACTTCGCCTTTCTCAAAGCTTGGAAACCCCAAGCTCGCTAAGTTGGTTTTAAGGATGGTTTTCAAGTCACTTGAAACTTTCTTGAATCGTTTCAACTTTCCAATTTTAATGAGATGCAAAATTAACTCACTTGAGATTTTGCTTAGGCCTTCACACACGCTTACTTAACAGCCTAGTGTAAAGACAACCACTGTCTACACGAAAACTAAAGACGCTTTCCAAAAATACAAGCTTGAGCTTACAACAGGGATTCACGCTTGCATCGATCACGCCTTCGTAAATATTAGGGAGTTTAATATGCCACGACAGCTGACAACCACGAAAACGTCGCATGAAGAGTGAACTCACCTTTTTTTCAGTCTCTATCGTGATTATTCCAACTCACTTTACTTTGTCAAATGCAAGCGAACTCTTCTGGAGCTGAATTCCAAGTTCATAAAGAGAAAGAAAATTTTGTCATTGCTTGTTTACACCCTTCACAAAACGTGAAATTAGGCATTTTCACGTGGTAGTCGTGCAGTGACGGCAAAAAAATATACAAAAAAGCGTGATGCAGGTGCAAAGTTGTTGTTTTGCCTTGTCAAGCTATTGCTTTTTTTACTTTCTCGTCGCCGCTTTATCTTAAAATTCCAATTATTTACGATACATTGTGATCCGTCAGAAACAGAATTTTCTCGGTGCAAATTAAATTGCTCCTGCTGATAGCATCCGAAACGTTTTTCGACTCATCGGTAGTTCCTTCGTTTCTAGTTAGGAAAGTAGAAAATAAAAGTTTCCCTTGCACGCACAAGCTTGGTGAACGAACCGGGCAACTGTGTCAACTGTGGCGAGCAGCCGTCGTGTACGAACTCACGAAAAGAACTCAGGAGAAACTGTTCCCCGATTGGGCACAATAATACACAGCGTTTTTTGTGCCCAATCAGGAACCAGCATTCTCTTGACCGTTTGGAAATGGTCCGGTGAGAGTCGGCACCCAGGGGCTCTTCCGCCCATGCTTGAAAACTTTCGTCGCGCCTTTTAATCCGGCCGACTCACTGCCCCTGGGTCTCCGTGGATGCATCATTACAGACCATCCTTAACATCTCTGCTTCCAATTCGCGCAGTTCGTTATTGCGCTGGATAATGAATCCGCCGCGCTGACACACCATTGCGTATAATAATAATAATAATAATAATAATAATAATAATAATAATAATAATAATAATAATAATAATAATAAATAATAATAATAAATAATAATAATAAATAATAATAACAATACTTTATTCAAATGCATATATGCATTTAAGCAATAGAACACGTTTTCCGTGTTTGCAACGAGAGGGTTTGGGAGAATTCGAGACAGTTATGCAAACCCGAGACGAAGTCGAGGGTTTGCATAACTGTCGAGAATTCTCCCAACGCCTCGAGTGTTTATATCAGGCTATGCTATGCAAACACAGGAAAAAAGTTTTCTATTGCTTTTATAAAATAAATTTCCCGAGAAAAAACGCAAAACTCTTTGTATGGCACTGATTAAAAGAGAAATTCTTACCAGTCGCAAAGTCTTGTCCACGAAGTCTTGAACGCGTAATCAGTTCTTGTTTTGGAAAAAGATGCTTTCCAAAATACGGACTTTTCTCGCTTAAAATGTCAGCTTAAGCTAAAAAAAAAATTGACACACTTTCTTTGTAACGATTTTCCAAGTTTCAGCCTTCGAAGGATTGGGTAAATAAACTAAACTTGTCCAGTTTTGTACTTGAAAACTTTTTCAAATTCGTGCTTGCGTAATTAGCGCGTGAAAAGCAAAACATCTTGACGCCACAACCATGTTTACATTCTCTCATGCAAACACTCCTCTCAGCCAATCAGAGCGCGCGTAGTATCTTGGTTATTTTTATAAACTAGGTATACCTATCGATAGAGTTTCAACGAGCAAATCATGCTTATTTTGCTTAGGAGTAAAATTCCTTTTTTTCCCATTTGACCATTTCTTGGTCCCTTCCTGTTGCAAGGATTATTTTCTTGAAAAGTTCTCAGATTCAGTCTGGTGGCTTACAAACCTGCTATGTAAAATTGTGAAGTGCCTTGAAAGAATAATGTTCCAGAGCTAGTCATGGGCTCCTGTCCAGAGCAGGTGCTTTATTTTTTCCCTTGGCACCATAGCCCTGGCTTTATATAGGACCAACGAATACTATCTTATTCTTGTCAATTTGCGACTTTCACGTTCCCAATTATGCAATTTTTTTCCATACAAACTTTTGCTTAAAGTAATGTTTTCAATTTCTCTTCGGACCGTAACAATCGTCCCCAGAAAAACTGAAAACAAAACGCATGCAATATTTGTGGGGAAAACAAATTGCATTATGGGGAACGTGAAACTCACCCATGGTAAAGCGAGTGGAACACGACATACCCCAGAAAGTCGCCTTCAGCGGAAAGAAGGAATGCAAATTTTACAGTCAGGGTCTGGTGTAACAAACGACTCAAACGACTACTTTTGACACATGCCTTATAAATTTACTTGAGAAGGGGGCGTATAACGTTTCAAACCTTGACGATAACACGACTGTATAAAGGCTTAGCCTGTCGAATTTTGTTTGTTGATTAAAGTATTGTCGGCGAAAAATTAAACAAAACATAAAATAACAGTTCCCCCAATAGGAGAAAGTGGTAAGACCAGGGGCCCGTTTCTCGAAAGTCCCGATAATTAACGACATTAACGGCCCGGTAAGCTGTTGCCGTTTACATTAAAGATCGAGGTTTCAATAGTTTTGCATCTAACATGATAAAACTATCAGTTAATGAAACAAAATGGACTAGTTTGCTAGGCGGGACCAGCGCTCTTACTCTTTATATTTCGATTTAAAAATTTGACTTCGGGCCCGAAAATTTACCGGGACTTTCGAGAAACGGGCCGCAGGAACGTAATCTCTACTCATAGCCCGCGTTCTTTGTGTAGTCAATAGTAATTAAGACCTACGTACTAGCACAACTCAATGTGCACTTATAAGACTGAGAATTGCTTACAGTGTCACCGAAAGGCACTTATAAATTTTGAAAATTCCCGAACAGTGACGGTTCTTGATGCACGCTAAACATTTGTATCGAAATTGTACACACATGACAGTATACTTGTATCGCAAATAGGTGGGGAAGGAACGGGTGGGGATCTGCTCTCTTCAGCTAGAAACATGCCCTAGAAACGAGCCATTTAGCCCGGCCTTATATTGGGGAGTACTGCTTTAGTCGGTGATGATTGCCCGTCACTGAAACCTTCTTTTATTCTCTTGGAATACTGATCATTCCACTATCAAACAAAAAATCCGTGACGAGGGATGGGTGGCAGACGTTGGAAAAAATCTTAATCATAAATAATTAAACCCTTTCTAAGAAACGCGTGACAAATCAGGGGCGGATCCAGGATTTTTTTTAGGAGGGGGTGCACTCATCTCTTGCTCTACTTCAACACCAATAAACCACATAGTTCTTTTTTTTTTTTTGCAGAATACCAGTTGTATTAGAAAACCGCAGGTCATCTCAGGGAGGGGTGCGCACCCCCTGCACCCTTCCCCTAGATCCGCCCCTGCAAATTCATATTCATGAATTAATGACCTTTTGAGATGAAGTGAAAATTGATCTAGGATGCATGCATTACAGGATGACTTCGAAGTTCGTTGCCAGATGAGCTAAAAGTTCGTTTTCCTGTTCACCAGAGACA